TGCTGCTTTAGGGACCACACTTAGGGTAGTCAGGATGGAGAGGAGGTGTGCATTTACTGACAAAACACTTGTGTACTATGTGATGTTAAATGGGGGCAAAATCAGGTTATAAAGAAGAGGGCCCGCTCTTTTTTATATTTTAAATGTAAAATATACACACACACTCTCCCTCATTTTATCTGGACAGATATTTACCAACATGCAAACAGTATATAGCTCAGAGTGGTGGGGATTTATGGTATTTTCCTTTTGCTTATTTGTATTTTCTAATTTCCCCTATAATAAATGAATCACCTTTGTGTGCTCTAAAAGGAGTTGGGGCAGGAATCAGCCTTGGCTCAGCACTGCTGCGACGCCTGGTGCCCATCCACACGGGCCGTTCTTGTCTTGCCTTCATTTCAGTGGAATCTCAGTCATGAGTCCTTTTCTGAAAACCTTCCTGCATTAGGAAGGGAGGTGGAAATACTTTAAGGACTTATTTCGTTTTTCCTGTCATGTAAAAGCTGTGGGTCTGGCTCTTTAAAATACTGCTTAAAATTCTCCCTTAAAAAGCAAGGCAATTACTTGCCAATCCCCCGCTGTAGGAAGGAAACCTTGTAATTACCAAGCATCTGTCTCTCAATTCAAAGTCAAGGCCCCACAGCCAGAAGACACTGTGATTCAGCAAACAAGAGGACAAAGTGAGTTCTGCGGGGGGATCTACACTGAAATCCTAAAATAACACGTGCGCGAGACTGAAATTGCAGCCCCAACGTTGGGTGTAAATATATCATATGAAGGAGGAAAAAAAAAAAAAACCGCCTCTTCATGTGGCATGCTGGGCTGACTGGCAAAATGAAAGGCAGCAATTTTAACTGTCACCTTCGCTGGAAGCAAAGTTGAGTTCAATGATTAAAAACATATTTACTGAAATACTCCTATAACCAGGGTCCTTGCTACAGCTTCAAGAAAAGTGAACAAACCACAGCAACTAAGAAGTCAGCAGGCCCTTCACCAACACCAGTATTTCTGGAAACAGCTTTTTAGAGCAATGGGTTAAGCACTACTAAAAGGAGGAAGGGAGGTAGAGAAAGGAACTAATATTTAATTAAGCACCTGAGTGCAGAGAATTTAACACACACAATACCCATTTTATAGACGAGAAGACTGAGGTGAAGAGGCAGCGTGGTGTCATGAGCGTCAAACACACCAAGCACTCTTGTTCTGCTCCTTATTGCGTGTGTGGCCTTGAATGAGTTCCTTCTATCCTTTAAGTTTTGTTTATTTGTAAAATGTGGATAATAAAACTACCCCCTGCTCCCGCAGGGAACTGAGGGCACCTATCGCTGCTGTCCAGCGTGTGCCCAGTGCTCGGTGGGTGCTCAGCAGGTAGGAAACTCTGTTAGGAGGGATCGTATCTTGCCCAAGGACACCTCGTTCAGCCTCACATGCCAGGGGCAGAATTTGAACCTGGGTTGGTCTCTCCCCAGAGTCCCTGTACACAGTCTCACTGCACTTTGCTGTGCCTGCTGGCCAAGTTTCCACACATACATCCCTCAGATCTCTTCTCCCTCCCCTATCTCCCACCTGGTGCAGTTCACCCAGTGATCCAGAGTCAGAACGTTGAAAGTATTGGCAAATGTTCCCTCTTTTTACTACTCTGGTTTGTTGTTTTTGTTAACATGACAGTCAGTAGTACTTTTAAATTTAACCTAAATGGTTGAAATATATAGCATCCAATACTTCCCCAGTTGCTCCGACCCTCTTTGCAAAAAATATTCCCCCAAAGAAATCGGGAATCTTTCTGTCTGTGCAGAAAACCAGCTTGTTTTACGTTGGAAGGCTTTTCAACTGTGCTTGGACAGACGGGACAAGCATGCTGTTTCTCCGGGTTCCATCACCGCTGTTGCTTATCCCCGAAGTCACAGGGGAGGACCGAGCCGGATCTGCTGTCTTCACCTGGGCTTCTCTCACCACTGGCTTCATCTCCTCCTCTGCTCACTCTGCCACCCACACAGCTTTGTCCAAAGGCATCAGCACAGTGTGTCTTTCGCTGGAAAGGTTTTGTTTGGGAAGCCAGAAACAGAGGCAGAAGCCAGGCAAAGCTCATGGGGCTCAGGCCCCTTCAGAAGCCACTGGCTCCCGGTGCTGTCTCTGCTGCTCTTCAACTTTGAGGCATTGGGAGTCTCTCAGGGGACTGTCGGGTCGGCATGGTGGCTCACCCCTGTAATCCCAGCACATTGGAAAGCCGAGGGGATGGGATGGGGTGGGGTGGGGTGGGAGGATCGCTTAAGCCAGGAGTTCAAGACCAGCCTGGGCAACATAGTGAGACCCTGTCTCTATGAAAAATACAAAAAAATTTTAAGTAAGCCAGGCTTGGTGGTGCACTTATAATCCCAGCTATTTAGGAGGCTGAGGTAAGAGGATTGCCTGAGCCCAGGAGTTTGAGGTTGCAGTGATGCATGTTTGCACCACTGCACTCCGGCCTGGGGGACGGAGTAAGATTGTCTCAAATTTTTTTTTTAAGTTGCTGGGCTTGGTGGCCTGTCATCCCAGCACTTTGGGAAGCTGAAGTGGGTGGATTGCTTGAGCTCAGTAGTTCGAGACCAGCCTTGGCACCATAGCGAGACCCTGTCTCTACAAAAAAAAAATTTTTTAATTAGCTGGGCATGGTGGTGCATGCTTGTGGTCCCAGCTACTCTGGAGGCTGAGGTGGGAGGATTGCTTGAGTCTGTGAGGTTGCAGTGAGCCATGGTTGCTCCACTGCACTCCGGCCTGGGTGACAGAGCAAGACCTTGTCTCAAATATTTACATACATACATACATACATACATACATACATATATACATACATACATAAAATAGAGACAGCGAGATGGCAGGGAAAATAAATAGCAAGATGGCAGAGAACCATTGCCTGGACAGCTGCCCCACCAAACTCTAGTCAGGGAAAGTTTTAAATACAGAGCCTGCATCCTTACAGTGAAGCAGTAACATCTGACATTTAAAGATCCCTCCCTGAACATTCCTCTTCTCCCCACTCCCATAACCTCTTTCCTAGGACCCATGCCCCCATTCTTTCTGTAACCTCAAGAGAGTTTATAAGCTTCTGTTACTCATTGAAATGTTGGGTCTTCATTCTGAAGACTCCCACGTATATACATTCAATAAATGTGTATGCTTTCTCTCCTATAAAATCTAAAGATACCTGAACACCTTGCACATGTTTGCGTAACAGACTCACCTCCTCTCAGGTGACCAACCACCCAAGTTTACCTAGGATTGCCCTGGTTTCAGAGCCGAAAATCCAGGGCCTAAGGAAACCCCTTTGTTCTGTGTAAACCTGAATAGCTGGTCACCCTGTATCCAGTGGATCAGTGAGCCAGTTCTCTGAGATCAGGGGTGGCCAGAATACAAAAGCCAGAGTTTCCTTGCCCATCATCAGTGTGGCCTGTTCAGTGCAGTTCATGTGCTCACAGTTGGTCAGCTAAAGGCCTGGCACTCAATGACTCTTCTCCTTACATGACCATGGAAAAGTCCACATGAGTGGACTTTCCTGAAATTCCATCATTAGGATATCATTCCTTTACAGGACCCTTGTTTCCTGTTAAAAATTAAAATGCTTCAAAATGCCTGGTAGAGGAACAAATCATTAGTGAGAACTTTCATCAAGAACCACAGGCGATTCTGCAGCAAGACACTCACGGCTGTCTCTGAGCTTGTCCGGGCTCCGTGGTTACATGCTGGGCTCCTGCTGGCCTGGGAACTGCGGTAGGAAGTAACCATGCAGGCTGACAGGGAAGAATCAGGCAGGACCAAAGCTTACAGTACTAATGCCCAACAGTAGTCCACAGTAGAAAGTTAAACTTTGCATGAGAAAGATGTGAAATATTTGAGAATCCAGAGGAAGGAAGCATTTTTTTTTTTTTTTTAAAGCTGTGGATGACAAAAGTTTCATGAAAAGGGCAGCAGCTGAGCTAGATTTTGCAAGGTCTGTGAGAGTGGATGTGGGATGGGAGAGGGACAGGAGTGGGTACTCTAGCCCGAGGGCACAGCACGCCGTGACCTCAGCATGCTGGGGTGAAGGGAAGAAAGGAAATGAGAGGGGAGGGGCGGCTCACACTCTGTCCCGGATGCCCAGCTGCAGAGTTGCAAGGGAGGAGAACGGAGATGGTAGCTCCGAGAACCCTGGGCGTGGAGGGTGGCTGGGACTTGGACTAGGCACAGAAGGGCTCCCCTGCTCTCAGAACAAGGAATTCAGCCAAGTTAGCAGTAAGGACACTGATAGGACAGAAGAAAGTAGTGGGTGGTTTTCTCATCCCACTGCTAAGTGCCTGGGCCAGCCAGGGAGTCTGCTCAGGCAGGGATGGGGGAAGCCTAGGCTGGCAGAGGGTCCAGCCTCTGATCAGGGTTGGGGTGTACAGCTGGTCCACTGCAGTGTGAGACGTCCAGTGCCGGCTCCTGGCCAGGATGCTGAGACTGAGAACAACTCCATCACGGCAGGCCATCCCAGGAAGGAGGCTGCAGAGGTTGGAGCTGCTCCTTAGTGCAGACAGCAGCAGCGTGTGCATGTTCCCCAGGGACACCCAGAGAGTAGGCTGGTGGCATCTGGCTGGGATGCCAGTCTGTTGGTGCCAGACTATACCTGAGTGTGCTCACAATCTGGCAGCGGGACATACTGAGAAAGGAAGTGCTCTGGGCTTGGAGACAGAGAACTCAGGTTCAGTGCTGGCTCTAACTTTATAGTCCAGGTGAATTTCGCAACCTTGTTTGGCTTTCAGTTCCCTTATCTATAACATGGGCAAAATGGTAGGTATTTCAAGGTTCACTGGGAGAAAGGCAGGAGTGTGTGTGACAGTGGGTTTATAAACTGTAAGCACTGTGCACATGGATGGTGTTTGCCTCATTGTCACTCCTCTGTAGGGAGAACGCGGCCACAGACGGCCACCCACTCCTGAGCTGGCCTCCCAGAGCCATCTGTGTCCACAGGATCTAGCACTCTGACTCTTCGCTCTCCCGTTTCTGGGTTGATTCCACCCATTGCCGTCTCCTGGGCCACTTCAGCTGCTCCTGTCTTTATTCCACTTAAGCTTTCTCTTCCTCTTGACTGTCGAGCCCTTTGGCAGACAGAGCCGGGCACAAGCTGTGATTGAACCGAAGACACAGGGTCTTGAAAGCAGAGATTGATGCACCTGGTTCTTGAGTAGAGGTGTGGGTGCTGACCTGCACAGCTTTCCTCTTCAAAACCGGGTGTGCATTTGCTTACAGGGTTTTCTTGGAAACCCTAAAGCCGTAACCTGGGCTTGGCATGGATAGTACCTTGCATCTCCTTTCTCCTTCCTGCAGATGCACAGATTCTTGGCAGCAAGAGTGAGGGGCTGTTGCTTATGTTGACTTGGAGAGCCGGGAGGAGAAGGAGGTGCTGTTTCTGCCCAAGACGGTAGTGGTGGGTGTCAAGTTTCTTCCACAAGTGACCAGCCTTTACGGTGGGCTCCTGGAAGGTACCCTGCAGGGCCCCACCTACGTATGCCCTGCCCAGAGGGCCCAGCACAGGGAGGCAGAGCACCCTGTGGCTGCCAATGACACTGGTCTGGCATCTGAATTAGTAACTCACAATAGGATTAATTTCTCTGTGTAATTAAGTAAAGGAAAATGGCAGGAAAGTACTGCCTGTTTCTTCCACACAGGGTTTTGTTTTCTATCCCGTGATTATAAGGGAAGTCCATTTGACTTCATTAACTTAGGAAGTATCTAGCAGACCCATTCATCTGGGGCTGGCCTCCTATCTGCCTTTGGACAGATGCTTCACAAACTCCTACCACGTGTGTGACATTTGCTGAGCTCTGGGTCTGCAAATGTAAATAGCACATGGCCCCTGCTCTGTGGAAGTGCCTAGCCCTGTCCAGCTCTGCACAATAGGTAAACATAAAATCAGTAATTACAATCTAGTATGCTGAGGGTAGTAATGAAGGTGCGGGAGCCAGACTTCCTGGGTTCAAATCCCACCACTTGGACAAGTTCCTGAATCTCTGGCTTCAGTTTTCTTCATCTGTAAAATGGGGATGATGATAAGATTTCAGAGGGGAGGATGCAGATTAAATGAGCCAACATGTGTCAGTGTCTAGAAAAGCACCTGGCACTGTAGAGGACATGCTTGGTAACTGTTGGCTCTGTTTATCAAATCAGAGAGGTGGATCGGTCACTATGAGGGTGGAGAGGAGGTAGAAACTACTTCTGGGGTGTTGACAGGCTAGTTGGGCTGGGTATTGAAGTAGGAATGAGTGTGTAGAAGATGACCAGTTAACAATGCAAGAGCAAGGAGGCCTGAAGGGCACTGCATGCTGGTGAACATGAGTATTTTAGTACAGCTGAAACTGAAAAGGTACAGAAAGTGGAGGTAGGCATTGAAGAGCCAATGGGGCATTTCAGTGAGGGGTGTGGTATGATGAGAATTGTGTTTTTGAAAGTTAATTCTAATGATGATGATGGAAACAGAGTCTGATTAGCAGGCTACTACAGTCAGCCTGAGGAGATGCTGAGGGGACCTGGTGGGGAGCTGGCGTCCTGGAATGGGCAGATGGGACTTGGAGAGAGTAATTTGAACGTGGAGCTTATGGATGGGATGTGAAAGTAGAAGTGAGGAGCAGGGGTTGAAAGGAGGTCTCCAGGGCTGTGGCGTGAATTACTAAGTGAATGGGGTGCTGGTCACATAGTGGGAGAGCAGGTTGGGCAGGCAGCAGGTGGGTGAGGTTTGGCATGCTGGGTGCAGTCTTTCCTCCCCCAAAGTTGGACATCTAAGGGTTGGCTCAGGACAGTGGCTAGACTGGGAGTAAGAATTGGAAGTCATGTGAGTGAGGCCATGGTTGGTTGCGAGGCCTCAGGTGGGTTCCCTTAGCTCCCCCCAAGTCCTTGGGGTGGCTTCATTGAGCAGAAAAAGGTTCCCTCAAGGTGGCTGCAGCCCTACAGGCTCGTGACTTGGCCATCAGCTCCTTTCACCTTGTACATACATCACCTTGGGACCTCAGGCAATGGCTGCTTTCTTTGGGTTGACTCATCAGTGTCTATGAAAGAGTAATATCGAACCTATTCACAGGGTTATTGAGAAGACAGAAGGACTGAAGGCCTGTGAAAGGGTTTCTTATCTCATCCAGACATTATGGTCTTTGCCCATTTTAGGAAATGTTGGCCATGCTGAGATCTGCAGGCTGCAAGGGAAGCCTCCATGCTCAGGGCTGTACGGCAGCTCAGAGAAGAGCTTTTATGGGGGCATTTGTCCTTGCAGGGTTTGCAGAGAACAGACAAGAAGGAGACAGTGGTTCAAACAGAGGTGGAGAGAGAGGTGGCACCTTCCTTCAGAGAACTACACACAATCAGGAGAAATCCCAGCTCGCATCTCCAAGCTGTCCCACTGATGTCATTTCTTCTCAGACCGTAAGGCATGCTCAGGTGCTTGTAGGTGAGCATATATGAACTAGCTATGTGGCTCCAGGTAACTGGGAGATTTCTGAATACAGAGAGAAAAGGGATTGAATTATGACCTTAGGGGATGCATGATGGGAGGAGGTTATTTTATCTTTGTACTCAGCATCAACTTGGCAGCAAATCCTGTTTATGAAGGAACCACCTGATGACCATTTCATTATAATCCCTGCAATGGCAGTGATGTGATTTCTTTGTGCTATGTTAGATCCTTTGTCTACCGGAGAGGCCAGGGAAGATGGGCATAGAAGCAGTCCAATACTGGCTCCCATGTGGTAGTTTAAAATCCTCATCAGAGTCCAGGAGGTACATGAACATCCCCAGATAACTTCTGCTGCTCTTGGTTCCAGAAGTAAAAGTGTGTTTGGTATTTGTCTGCTAACCTGTGACATGCTCACCTGCTGAGCTTTCTGTACTTGGACTCAAAGGGGTAGCCAGAAAGAGCTCTCAATGAGGAGTGCATGTTTTCTATTTTTAGTCTGTATAAATATCACATTCCTCCTCCTCAGACTTAAACTCAAGCCAGAGGTGCATTCTTATTTGGCCTTACTGGTCTTTAAGAAAGAGCCTGATTACCATGTCTGCATTGGGAGACACACGCCCAAAATGTTAGCATTGCATCAGACGGCATTTGTAATGATGGCCAGCGCTTATGAGCCGGATGCTGCACTGTGCTTTATGCACAGTATTTCATTTTATTCTCACAATGATTCTTTGAGACGGATACTCTAATCTTCGCCATTTTACAGATGGGGAAATGGAGGCTGTGTGGGGTTATGTACCTTGACCAGGGCACCTGTTCGGTAGGTCAGATATGCCTGACTATAGAACTCGAGCTCTCTGTGCAAAGTGCTCTTGGGGACTCTGCAGGACCTGAGTGCCGTTGCTCAGCATAGCGCTCGGCCGGGATATGCAGCCGAGCAATTCATTCACAGGTACAGCTGTCTTAGTAAGGCCCTTCCAGCTCTGGGCAACAGATGTTTTTCATCCATGTGTTATTGGCATCATCATCATCATCATTACAGCTTCTGCCTTTATGAAGGATTTATCGTGTGTTGATGTCAGCATTTCACCTGGATGGCCATTGCTTCTTTGTGCCTATGACAGTCACTGCTCACCTCTCTGATTCTGCAAACCACAGTGGCACACAATGTTGGGATCAGGATTAAGTTGTCTGCAGGACGTCTGTCCCTCTCTGCTGTTGGAGGTAAACCACCATTCCCTCTTATCTCAAGGCGTTTGCTTCAAGGGAGTCAAACTCAGCACCTTACACCTGTGCACGTAGGAGCTCATTGATGGATCTAGGGGCCGTATGCACTTGCAGTTAGGGAGGGCCTTTTTCTGCACCCAGCCAGACTGGCCTCTGCTCTGCACCAAAGGCAGGCAGCTCTATGCCCGGAGAAGTGCTCTTTCCTGAGTGGGCTCTTACTTGCTAGCTGACCATAATTGTAACTGCTGTTTATTAAGCACTTAGTCAGTGCCTGGCAGTGTGTTAAGCACTTTACAAATGCCATCCCGGGCCTCCTCCTGACAGTCTTATGAGCAAAGGAGGATTATCCCCTTCTTAGAATAGGAAGAGTAGCAATGAAGTTAGGGCCTGCTTATTGCCTGGAGAAAGCAATTCGTTTTTTTGAAGAGCCAGAAAGAACCTTAGACATCCTTAGTCCAACCCCTTTATTCTGTAGAGGAGAAAACTGAGTCAGCTGCCCGGTGTCTCACTGCTCATGGGAGGTGAAGCTGGACCTGAGCCCTCCTGTCTCCATCTGGTGCTTGCCTCCGCTCTGCTCTGCCCACCTGCTGTCTGAGCACACAACGCCGCTGCCCAGCTCAGCCCCAGGCCTCGGGCACAGCATTCAGCCTCTGACCCTGGAGTTGTGTGTTTGCAGTGATCCTTGGGGTAGAATGAACATTCTGAACAATGGTGATAGGAGCTGACCATTCAGTGACAGTGACTGCCCTGGGGGCAGCTCTGCAGAGGGCAGGACCTCAGGCATCTCATGCAGGATACACAGCCAGCAAAGGGCAGATTGACACCCGGGCTGTTGGTGCCAGAATCCACTCAGCCACTCTAGCTGGTGTGGGAGGATCATTCTGAGGTGGTGTTGGATGATAATTCTACTTTCTGCAGAATTCTGGGCTTCCAAGTGTGGAACTCTGGAACTCGGATAGAGCAGGTCAGGTGAGCTCAGTCCAGGAAGACAGGACTCCTCTGAGACAGGTGAGATAAGCTCCGGGTTTGATGGGAGGCAGGGAGCAGCCTCCTGTCAGCTTGGAGTCCTCTTCTTAGTGAAGTGTGCTAATAAATTACACAGCACATCAGCTCTCTCAAGTATTCTTGGAGCTGTGCCTGCATAGAAAGGAAGGACTCCATGCATCCCAGCTTGGACACCCTGTGACACTCTGCCCACACTCAGCTCTCTCTTTTGCTCCCTGTCAAACAAAGAGGCTGTGGGATGACCATGAAAATAACAACAGCCGCGACAGTAGGAATAGCTGCTATTTCCCGAGCACGTGCTGATGTGCGCTCACTCACTTAATCCTTACAGTTCTGCAAGGTAGGCGGACTGAGGCATCTCACACAGGGCACACAACCAACAAAGGGCAGATTGACACCCTGGCTGTTGGTGCCAGCATCCACTCTCAGCCGCTCTAGCTGGTGTGGGAGGGTGGAAGGATTTAAAAATAAAAAACAAAACAAAAAACAGTAGAAGTGCTCCCAACAGCTGCCGACACTGGTACGTGTCTGGGGGAGGGAAGAAAAAAGCTCTCTTCTTCTGTCTGCCAACGATCTCCTGGATATTTTCCGCTTTCCTTGTGGGCTTCTTCCATATATTTTTTAAAAAAAAACAGTCAAATAGAAAGCTCAGATGAGCTGGTGTCTTTAAAAAGTCAAAATCTAACCTGACCATCTATTGATTTTGCATACAAGGGATTAGGAAGATGCTGAGTTATTTTCCTTTGTACGTCTGAAGCATACAATGCAGAAATTTCAGCTTGCATTCTGGGTTTAGGACCAACTCACGACTAATTGGAAGACGAGAGTGTAGTGCAGGAGGGGGTGACTTCCTGGCATTTAGCTGCTGTTCCCCCCACCGCCCTCCACCAGCAACTCATCTGTATACACTCCCCTCTAATCAGGGACCTTGCTTGTGTTTTGCCAACAACTGCTTTTCCTTCCCGGAGACTTGACAGGCAATACCCTGTGTTACGAAGAGACGCATTTACAACCAATGGAAAGGACAAACAAGTATTTGACTGTCCTATTAACATTTGAGGGATTCTTTTAGTTTTTTCAGCCTGATTAGAAATTCATCTTTAGAAATTAGAGATCTCTACTGCTTTCAATCTCCACAAGTGCGGATGCTTTTGCTTGTCTGCTGTCTTATTCCTCCTTGGAAACTTAGGTCAGGGAAGCGGGAAGTTCCAAAGAAGAAAGGGCCGGGCATCCTCTGGAAATGTATGAGGAGATTTCACTCCCTGAGCAGGCAGTGGGCTCAAGGAGGGCCAGGGCCTGGACCCCAGGCCTGCTGTCTTCTCATGGGCTCCTGTGGCCTCCTATTTAAGGAATAAAAAGCTTATTTAAGGACTAAACGTTATCTAAGGAGTGTAAGTTGACGCTGAGGCAGACAAGGTGGAATACACAGAATATCAGCCGTGGCAGGGAGAGAAACTTCCTGATCCTGCTCTCTGGTTTCGCAAATGAAACTGGCCCTTTACCTGGAGAAAGGTGAGAAGACTGTCGGGACCCCTAATGCCGTTTCTTTAAAATAGCAGCTGCTGTTCTTTTTCTACTCATAAAAGCCATATATTTCATGATATCAATTATTTCCAGAAATTGTATTGAGAAAAGCATAAAGAACAAACTGGAGATCACCTATAATCCTACCACAGCAAGGGGATCATGGCCGATGCTTAGCTTTAGATTCTTTCATTCTGATTGCATACCCACTTCTTAAAAGTTTTAAGTAAGTTTGGATCATACTATTCATATTGCTCTGTAATCTCTATAAAAGGTGTTCTCATGAAGCTTTTTTTTTCTTTGTTGATACAGAGTCTTACTGTGTTGCCCAGGTTGTAGTGCTGTGGTGCCAACTCTGCTCACTGCAGCCTCCACCGCCCGGGTTCAAGCAGTTCTCCTGCCTCAGCCTCCTGAGTAGCTGGGATTACAGGTGCGCACCACCACGCGCGGCTAATTTTTGTATTTTTAGTAGAGACGGGGTTTCACCGTGTTGGTCAGGCTGGTCTCGAACTCCTGACGTCGTGATCTGCCCATCTTGGCCTCCCAAAGTGCTGGGATTACAGGCCTGAGCCACCCTGCCTGGCTGAAAGTTTTTTTTATGTTCTTAAATATTCCTCGAGAACATTCCTTTTAATGTAGAGAGAGTTCCATATCATGGATGTTCCAGGCTTTTTTTGATTCATTCTCAATTTGTGGGCATTTCATTTATCTGCACAGTTTTGGTATTATAAAACTCACATCTGGCCAGGCATGGTGGCTCACACCTGTGAGGCTGAGGCAGAAAGATTGCTTGAGTCTGGGATTAGAGACCAGCCTGGGCAACATAGTGAGACACCAACTCTATGAAAAAATAAACTAAAAATTAGCCGGGTGTGGTGATGTGCATCTGTAGTCCAGGCTACTGAGGAGACTGAGGTGGGAGGATCGCTTGAGCCCAGGAGTTTAAGGCTGTAGGGAGCTGTGATTGAGCCACCGTATTCCAGCCTGAGTGACAGAGCAAGACACTGAATCAAAAAAGAAAAAAACTCACGTGTATTACTGATTGATTATTTCCTTCAGAATAACTTCAAAAAATAGGAACATTTTACAAAGTCATATTTCACCTTAAAAATTTAGTACCTGTTTATATTTCCACAAACACAAAATACGTTTCTTAAGCTCTAAATAACACTGGGAGCTGGTCTTTTAAGCACGCTCAAATGTTTGGAGAGAAACTGTCTTCCTGGTTTGTCCTCCCG